GGAGTGGCGGGACCGGCAGCGGGGTGGCCGGGCCGCCCCCGCGGGGAGAGGACATCACTCAAACACAGCACTGTGTGCCTGGGGTGCCACCGGGGGAAGCACAGGGAGTCTGGCAGCTGGTACAGGGGCTGGTCCCGAGTTGGGGTGTTGGGGAGAGGGCTCCAAGGGCAGGACAGGTGGGCTGAGGTCTGAAAGAGAAGGGAGGGGCTGCACAGAGAAGTAGGGGAGAGGACTGGAGAGAGGGACGTCTGCCAAGGCCGGAGGGGTCAGCTGGGGCAGAGCGCTGCGGCTGGGGGGCAGGCAGGAGTTCCCCTTCCTACTGCTTTAAACGATGGGTGTGGGCGAGTCTGAGCAGCTCTGTGGGTGCCAGGTGAAGACTGGCTTGGGGAGGCTGAGGGTGCCGAGCATCGCGGGGTCAGCGAGCAGGGAGGCTGCCGGCTGGCTCACATGGTGAGGGCAGGAAGGGAGAGCGGGTCTGGGTGATGGGTGTGGGGCCAGGGAGGGCCAGGGGGTGGATGGCACAGGGTCTCTACACCCACAGGGATGGCTGGGCTGTGGCCCACATGGGAACTCCGGGAGAGGACCACGGTGGAGGGCTCAGGAGAACACCGGGCATCCTGTCTGGGACACACGGGGCCCTGCGGTACTTACAGCCAATGTTTGTAGGTGGCGTCTGAGCTGACAGAGAAGGTCCGGGCTGGAGGTGCAGGCCTGTGAACAGGTGTGCAGAAGTGATGGAGTGTGGGTGGGGGGAGAGACAGCCTCCGAGACCCGAGCCAAGGGCAGAAGGGAGAGTGCTGGGGAGACAGAGGGGGATGGGGGAGACGACCGCCGGCAGCTGCGCAGGGCTGTGTCCAGAAGCCCAGGGAAGGGCGTTTGGAAGGGGAGAGAGGCACCAGCAGCAGGTCAGGTGCGGCCCAGAGGGCAGCGAGGGCGCACTGAGAAACCGCTGTTGGCTAATCACAGGGAGGCATGGAGGCATCGTGACTCGGGAGTAACCTTCTCTAAGTGGCAGGGGGTGGGGGTGGTGCTGGACGAGGCGGAGGGAGGGCGGGAGGGAGGGAGAAGAGGTGGGGAGAAAGACTTGGATCTGTTACTTAAGAAGTCTGGCTCTTAATGGGGAGGAAAGAGACTGGCGGGGGTGGGGGGCTGGGGGGTTGTAAATAACGTAAGGTCTTTGGTATCTGGGAGGGGCTTTTCAAAGGTATAAGACAATTAAGCACTTTTCAAGCTGATGCCTCTTTATTTGCAAACGGAATGATCCTGTTTGTAGAAACAAACCCTGTGGCATCTACAAAAATTCTGCAACTACTAGTAAGTGAATTTAGCAAGGAGCGGGATTCATCAACACATGAATATCAATTGTGTCGGTTCATACTGGCAGCCACAGAGAAGGGCGGAGACACACCATTTAAAAAAGCATCAGAACCAAACTACTTTGGGATGAATTTGACAAAAGATGTGTCAGTGCTGCTACACTGAACACTACGAAACTTCGCTGCAGAAACGACAGAAGACCCACGTGAAGGGAAAGGTGTGCCGAGCCCACAAACTAGAACTCACCTATGACACGGCCCTTCTCCCCAGCTTCATCTTTCCACTCCGTGCAACGTCAGTCGGCACTTTTCTGGAAATCAATGGCCAATTCTAAAATTTGTATGGGAACACAAAGGGCCTAGAACGGCCAAGATAATCTCAAGGAAGCAGAACAAAGTTGGAGGATGTGCGCTGCTGGATGTTGAGACGTGCTGTGCCGCTGCAGAATTTTGGACAGCACGGCGTCGTGAGAGACGGATGACCAGAGCAGTCGGGCAGAAGAGAGTTCAGAGCCGGGTCCACGTGGGTACGGTCCACTGATTTTGACAGACGTGCCACTTCAATGGGGAAAAGGAAAGTCTTTTCAATGGGTGATATCAGAGCAGCTGGACAGTGAAGAACCTGGAGCCCTAGTCACACCACGTGCAGAACTAACCCGAGATGGATGGTAGACTTACAAAGTAAAATTCAAATATGTGCAGCTTCTTGAGTAACAAAATACTTCACTGGACAGACAAGCAGACAGAAGCTTGGAGCAGACGGAATTTTCTTGGGTGGGGAATAAGAAGTGGCGTAAAGGGGGAAGAGATGAAGCTATCCCCGTCAAAGTGAAACCTCTGCTCTTTGAAAGCTGTTGTTAAGAAAATGAAAAGTCAAGCTGCCAACCTGTTGCAAATAGTCACAGTAATTACGTCCAACAAAGGCCACGCGTCCAGGTTGCAGGAAGAAGCACTCGTGTGAGGGTGTTCTCAGCGGCTCTATTCTGAACCGCCCCAAGTGGAAGCAGCCCAGGCATCCAGCAGTGGACAGGCGTGGCTGGGTCCCAACGGCCACGACTCAGCAGCGAAGCAGTGTGAACCAGCCACACGATGCCAGGATGGGTGGCTCGGGGCGTCGATGAGCAAAAAAAACAGGTGTAAAGGCCGCCTGCGGGACCCTGTTTCCAGGCAATTCTAGGACACCCAGTGAGGGGCAGGAGCTCACGGGGAAGAGGCAATGGACAAGGTCCAGGCTTGACTGGAGTGTCAGGCACGTGGTCATGCGTATACATTTTTCAGAACCCAGTGAAGTGGGCGTTTAAAGTGGAAGCATCTTTCACTGCACTGACAGCCAGGCCAGACTGAATGGTCAGCCAGGGGCCACAGGCTGACATGAGCTCCCACTCAGAGAGCTGGGGGTCCTGCGCCAGGTAGGTGGACGGGGACCAGAGGTCAGGGGCGGGCGCTTTGCCCAGGAAGCTGAGGGAGACCAGGTGGTCTCCGGGGAATTGGGTGTAGGAGGGGAGTGGGTGACAAGAGGCTCTGTGGGCAGAGCCAAGGCTCTGGGGTTGGGGGCTGTGACCGACCCCTGAGTGGCACCCCTGTCCCAAAGAGACTCCCGCAGGGCGCTGCTGCTTGTGTCCAGGATAAGAGAAGGTCCCCTGGGGGCCCCTGTGGGTGGGAGGCTGAAGGAACAGGGCAAGGTCAGTGCAGGATTCGGGCAGAGTGCCCGCACGCTGGACACGGAGGTCACCAGGAGAGCTGGTGGGTGGGGAGAAAGCGGGGGTCGCGTTGCCCTGGGCCAGGCCGGGCCCCCATGATGTGAGGAGGCGCACTGGGCCAGGGGCCCCAAGGGCAGGACGGCTGTGAGACAGCACCAGGCGGTGGCGGGGGGCGGGGCTGGGGGGCTCGGGGGCGTGGCCAGAAGAGCCCAGTAGGTCAGACTGAGAGCAGGAGAGCCCCGTGGGCAGTTTTCTTTTTTTTTTTGGTTTAACTTTTAATTAATTAATTTATTTTATTAATAGATTCTATTTTTTAGAGCAGTTTCAGGTTCACAGCAGAATTGAGCAGAAAATAGAGAGTTCGCCATAGCCCTCCCCACCCACACGTACATACCCCTCTACCCTCAGCCTCCCTCATCAGGGTGGCGCCTGTGGTACAATCGATGAACCAACACGGACACATTACCATCAACCACAGTCCACAGTTTACACGCGGGTTCACGCTAGATGTTGTGCGTTCTGTGGGCTTTGACAAATGCATACTGACATGCAGCCACCACTACAGCATCACACGGAATAACTTCATCGCCCTAAAAATCCCTGTGCTCCATCTGTTCATCCTCCCTCCCTCCCTCTCCCCGAACCCCTGGAAACCACGATCTTTTTATTGGCCTGTAGCTGTGCCTTTTCTAGAATGCCATTTGGTTGGAATTGTGCAGTTTGTAGCCTTTTCAGACTGGCTCCTTTCGTTTAGTAGTGTGTCTTTTAAGTCCCTTCCATGTCTTTCATGGCTTGATAGATCTTTTTTTTTTTTACTGCACATATACTTTTAAATTTGCATGTATGTACTGTTCATTGTTTCTAAGAACGTTTAGAGGTTTAGCTTTTTAAACTTACCTAGTTATCAAAGGAATAAAGCCAACCACAAACTAAAAATTAATTCAAAAAATACATACACCCTGCTATTAACAGCAACATTATTTATAACTGCCAAGACATGGAAGCACCCCAAGTGCACATCAATAGTGGAGTAGATAATGGAGATGCAGCATACATACACGTAATGGAATAGAGCTCACCCATAAGAAGGAAGGATATTTTGCCATTTGCAGCCCTTCATTCACTTTTTTTCACTTCAAAAACCAGAATTTTGTAACTGGCATAAACATTTCCATTATATCAAAAAAAAACCAAATGCCTAGAAATAAACTTAACCAAGGAGGTTACCTGTACTCTGAAAACCGAAATGACAGAAAGAAATGGAAAGATTTCTTGTGCTCTTGGACTGGAAGAATCAACACTATCACAACGGCCACACACCCCAAAGCAACCCACAGACCCAACGCAACCCCCGTCAAAATACTCACGACATTCCTCACAGAACTAGACCAAACAATTCCAGAATTTATAAGGAACCACAGAAGACCCCCAACAGCCGAAGCAGTCTTTTATAGGTCTCTCTCTTTTTTTCTTTTCTTTTTGTTCTTTTCTATGGTTTGATGACTACAGAAGGTCCTTTAACATTTGTTGTAAAGCTGGCTTGGAGGAGCTGAAATCGTTTAGCTTTTGTTTATCTGTGAAGCTTTTGATTCCTCCATCAATCTGAGCGAGAGCCTTGCTGGACAGAGTGTTCTTGGTTGGAAGTTTTTCCCTTTCATCACTTGAAGTATATCTTGCCACCCTCTTCTGGCCTGTAGAGTTTCTGCTGAAAGATCAGCTGATAACCTACGGGAATTCCCTTGTGTGTTATTTGTTGCTTTTCTCCTGCTAATTTTAATATTTTCTCCTTATCCTTAATTGTTGTCAGTTTGATGGCTGTGTGCCTTGGTGTGCTCCTCTCTGGGTTGGTCCTGTGTGGAACTCGGTGCTTCCTGGACTTGGATGACTGTTTCCTTTCCCAGGCTGGGGACGTTTTCAGTGATTATCTCTCCAAAAATGTTCTCAGGTCCCTTGTCTCTTCTCTTTCTGGGACCCCTACGATGCGAATATTAGCGTGCCTCATGTTGTCTCAGCGTTCTCTTAAACGATCCGTGTTTCTTTTCTTTCTTTTTCTGCTCTGCAGCAGTGATTTCCACTCATCTGTCTTCCAGCTCACTGATCCCTCCTTCTGCCTCACTTAGTCTGTTCTTGGTTCCTTCTAGTGTGTTATTCATTTCAGTGGTTTATTCTTCAGCTCTGTGTAGGTGTTCTTTACATTTTCC